TAGAATAGGTTAGGGGCAATTCCATGATAACAGAATTACGCTGAGACTCAGATTTTTCACTTTAAAATGTTTACCAAAGAAAAAACATTGTTTTCAAAGTTTAACGAAACATACAACTCTATGCACAATGACTACTTTGAACAATTTACACAGAACATTTCACAAAAACACATTTACTGGAAGAACAGTGCAGATGCAAAGTTTGGTAACAGAATTACGGTTAAATATCCCTCTGTTTTTTATCTGACAACGTTTTCGAAAAACTCTTAAATACTGTTAAATATCTGCTCCAAATTAAGATTCAAATATGTCTGCAGAAAGAATGGGGTGTCGGCTGGATTTACAACTGGTAACAGAATTACACTAGCAGAATTACATCATGGGTCTCTGACCTGTACTACACAGAAATGCATACTTATGGATATGAATGTAATTATCTTCATGGTGATGTATCCTGAATAGGTAAACAAAGGTAGAACTATGCAATATCATCCTATGCAGGGAGGGGTTGTCCAGACTGTTTTCACATTCTGGCTTTGACCACCAGATGACGGAAAGAGAAAGAAACCAGTTATCAGCTGAACATAACAGTATGCCAGTGGAAGGAAGGACAGTAGCAGGTGACCCAACTGTGGTTTGTGACTACTACGATTTCCCATTGTAGCCAATTCAATTGCAGTAATTCTGTTACAGAGTTTTCTGTAATTCTGTTACCGATTTGGTAATAGAATTGAGTTTTAATCACTTAATAATTCATTTAAAAAAATTATATCAGAAAAATCACTATAACTAATTACTTGTTACTTCTGTGAACTTTCATTATCCTCTCTCCTCATGGGGAAAGAAATTAGAACATATCTTAAAGATACTGTGCCTTCAGAAAGTATTCACACCCCTTGACTTTTTCAGCCTGAATTTAAAAGGGATTTAAATTGATCTGTTGTGTCACTGGCCTACTCCCAATACCCCATAATGTCAAAGTGGAATTATGTTTTTAGACATTTTTACAAAAAATGAAAAGTTGAAATGTCTTGAGTCAATAAGTGTTCAACCCCTAGCCTAAATAAGTTCAGGAGTAAAAATGTGCTTAAAGATGCACTATGCAGAAATCGCTCCGCCTTTTTCTGGTTGCTAAAATTCTAATAGGTTGCCTAATTTCAGTTTATGTGACAAATCAAGCAAGTATAGTGTAGAGAGTCATTGTACCATCTAAACTGCTGTGAAATATGTTTTCCATAACCAAAAATATTGTATTTTCAGCTGTTTTTAAGCTGGTGTACAAAACCAAAAGTAAAAGGCGCAAAAATGAAACTTAAGAACAAGAAGCATATAAATAACACACATAGAACAGATCTCTGGCTTTGAATGAGAATGACAGATCTATAACTCACATTTCTACATGAATTTGGTCGGGTCGCCCAAAAGGTTACATAATAAGTTGCATGAACTCACTCTGTGCAATAATAGTGTTTAACATTATTTTTGAATATGTGGTGAAGTTATTAATTAAACTTTGGATGGTGTATCAATACACCCAGTCACTACAAAGATGCAGGCGTCCTTCCTAACTCAGATGTCGGAGAGGAAGGAAACCGCTCAGGGATTTCACCATGAGGCCAGTGGTGACTTTAAAACAGTTAGAGATTAATGGCTGTGATAGGAAAAAACGGAGGATTGATCAACAACATTGTAGTTACTCTACAATACTAACTTAAAAAAGAGTGTGAAAAGAAGGAAGCCTGTACAGAATAAAAATCTACCAAAACATGCATCCTGTTTGCAATAAGGCACTAAAGTAAAACTGCAAATAATGTGGCAAAGAAATTAACTTTATGTCCTGAATACAAAGTGTTATGTTTGGGGCAAATCCAACACATCACGGAGTACCACTCTTCATATTTTCAAGCATGGTGGTGGCTGCATCATATTATGGGTATGCTTGTCATCGGCAAGGACAAGCACGTTTTTTGGGGATAAAAAGAAATATAATAATAGAGCTAAGCACAGCTGAAATCCTAGAGGAAAACCTGGTTCAGTCTGCTTTCAACAGACACTGGGAGACAAATTCACCTTTCAGCAGGACAATAACCTAAAACAGAAGGCCAATTATACACTGGATAATATACCCAAGACAACATTGAATGTTCCTGAGTGGCCTTGTGTATTGACTTAAATCAGCTTGAAAATCTATGGCAAGACTTGAAAAGGGTGGTCTTGCAATGATCAACAACCAACTTGATAGAGCTTGAAGAATTGTTTTAATAATAATGTGAAAATATTGTACAATCCAGGTGTGCAAAGCTCTTCTAGATTTACCCAGAAAAACTCACAGCTGTAATCGTTGCCAAAGGTGATTCTAACATGTATTGACTCAGGGGTGGGAATACTTATGTTAAGGAGATATTTCTGTATTTCATTTTCAAATATATATATATATATATATTTGTTTTTACTTTGTCATTATGGGGTATTGTGTGTAGATGGGTGATGGAAAAAATTCAATTTAATCCATTTTGAATTCAAGCTGTAACACAACAAAATGTGGAATAAGGGTTATGAATACTTTCTGAAGGGACTGTATGTGGGTTTTTGGTAACGGAATTACAAGGCACAAGGCAATGTTTCTTAAACTTACAGAAGGCAAATCATTTATCCAAAACTAAATATAAGTGGTGATATTAGTTGGCAGGGGTCTTTACTTCAACATTATTGTGTTTTGATGTATTTGTAATACCTATTTTCTGGTAGATTTTTTCTAAGAAGCTTTTTCAATCAGTTTTAACAGAAATCAAAGCCATTTCTTATGCCTAATTTTTAAGATGGATAATGGTTGAAATTTATATCTATGCCATCATTTCCCAAAAATATAGACTTTCATTTATCACATAATCTGATATGCTCCTATGAACTTCATATGTTGGTGCTTTTACATGGAAATGACCTTAGGTTGTTTCAAGGAGGAGGCTACTGTGTTAGCTTATGCTTTGCTTTTCTGCTCAGTTAGACTGTCTGTGTTTGGTTTGAGTTGTTGCTTGGGGCAAAAGTCCCTGCTGGATTTTTTATGTGGGGCTGTCCGTGAACTTTCTCTCTCTCTCTGACGGTTGAAGTGTGAGAAGAACACAAAGTGTGTGTGTGTGTGTGTGTGTGTGTGTGTGTGTGTGTGTGTGTGTGCGCCTGCATTTGTATGTCTCTGTCTGCTTCTGGGTCTGTGTGTGTGTTTTTTGTGCTCCGTCTGCCAGGGTCACGTGGGGGGAGGGGAAGGTCAAACTGTCCTGCCCTGTCTCCAAACAAAGATTGTTCTGTCTACCTCGACACTGTTGTGAACTCTGCTGGGAAAAGAGCTCCCATCGTCTCGGGATCAATAGAGCCTCTGAGCTGACCAATAACTCTACTCATTTTACTACACACACGCACACGTGGTGCGCTATGGTGATAATCACTGTCAATATTCAAACATGTCATAAGAATGTTATGTATTTGGTTGTTCAAAATGTCAATGTTTTACTCAAGTTGATATTTTACAGGAAGTAAATCACAAACTTTTCACTGGAAGCAGCCAGTCATGATGACAGTATAAGTTGTCAGACCAATGACATCATACCTGTCATAATGTGGTCCTCTGTAGGTCAATTGGTAGAGCATGGCGCTGGTAACGCCAGGGTAGTGGGTTCGATCCCCGGGACCACCCATACGTAAAAATGTATGCACACATGACTGTAAGTCGCTTTGGATAAAAGCATCTGCTAAATGGCATATTATTATTATTATATTATTATAATACTTGAGATGTCTTGCATATCATCGTGATGATGTTGTACATAAGATAGTTCCTGTTTGGCTTTTCTATTGAGTAGGGTATCATATGTGCCTACATTAAGAGTTGAGTTACGAATATTAATACCCATGGGGGGCAAGTATAAAAAATAAAATAAAAAATGTATTCACTAACTGTAAGTCGCTCTGGATAAGAGCGTCTGCTAAATGACTAAAATGTAAATGTAAGTAAGACAACTGAGATGGTATGCTATGTTTTAAAAAGTAAGCTATTTCATCTAACATATCCAGGGAATGCATCATTGATATTTTGATGTGCAACCTGTCAAAATAGGATCCAGAATGATCAGATTTATTTTTGGCTCTTCAGAGATTAATTTGCCGACATCTTTGTGTATGGGCCTATTGGCATATTCACCACCTGATGAAGTGGGAACTCAAAACACTTAGTAGATTGCTAACTCTAAATATGATCTTGTTGCTATATAGCCATGTATGCTAATTGATTAATCTATCAGTAAATGTAATGTCCTACAAAACCTTCCAGTGCTAGGCTAAGCTACTTGATGTAGGCCTATTCAGTGCAAATGGCATGCTCCACTCAGCTCTGCGGGCGCATCAAAACCATACTACGTAGCCTACTCCGGTTGTAAAGTGGTGCCATGAACTCAATATTGAGAGGTGAGAAATAAATGATATACTCACAGACATCTGTGACTCTCCTCTATGTAACTAAAAAAGCATATATTTCCTGCAATTGCATTTTGAGCAACGGTCATATGCTTGTGCTTATCAGAATGCATCTCTCCCTCCTCCGTGCACACAGTGGGGCGAGGGCAGCCCACAGTGAAACAGGGACAGGCAGATACTTTCATAGCAGGAATCAACATAATGCATAGGCTATTACTGTTGACCAAATAATGGTTTTAGAACCCAAAAATTGTCAGGAACATTGTGTAGCAAAATCCAGGAATATTACCGACCTAAGCAAAATCCTTCGGTAGGAGGAGGGCAATGTCGGTGTCGATAATTTTCGCTTTATCGTCCCAGCTCTACCCAAACATACTTACTAGGAACCAAGCAAGGAAGTACTACATTAGTAAATGAAAAATAACTACATTGAATTATATAGTAGTCCCCTTTTACCCAAAGGTAAGGATAGAGGACCTTATAAGTAAGTACAAAAATAACTAGGTTATTTGTATTTATTTATTACCAGAGACAGGATGATTGACTTGAAGGTATATAGTAAGTACATTGAAATAAATAAATAAATAAATACAATATACCGTAGATGTTGTTACTAGGTATTTACATAATAAGTACCTTGTACTTATAAGATCCTCAATACTAACCTTTGGGACTTAAGAGGACTACTATATAATTAAATTTTGTTACTTTGTATTTACTAAGTAAGTATGTAGTACTTACTTGTTTGGTACCTAGTAAGTATGTTTGGGACCAAATAGTTACCATGTATTTACTTTTTGTTACTAGTTATTGTCTAGTAATTACTGGGCTGTAAAATGAAGGGTTACCAAACATACAGTGCATTCGGAAAGTATTCAGACCCCTTGACCTTTTCCACATTTTGTTACTTTACAGCCTTATTCTAAAATGCATTAAAAAAATAATAATAATCTCATCAATCTACACAGACCCCATAATGACAAAGCGAAAAAACTGATTCTTCTAAATTTTTCTTAAACTTACAGAAGGCAAATCATTTCTCTAAAACTAAATATAAGTGGTCGAAGGTTCACCTTCCAACAGGACAACAACCCTAAGCACACAGCCAATACAACGCAGGAGTGGCTTCGGGATGTCTCTGAATGTTCTTGAGTGGCCCAGCCAGAGCCCGGACTTGAACCCAATCGAGCATCTCTGGAGAGACCTGAAAATAGCTGTGCAGCGATGCTCCCCATCCAACCTGACAGAGCTTGATAGGATCTGCAGAGAGGAATGGGAGAAACTCCCCAAATACCGGTGTTCCAAGCTTGTAGCGTCATACCCAAGAAGACTTGAGGCTTTAATCGCTGCCAAAGGTGCTTCAACAAAATAGAGTAAAGGGTCTGAATACTTATGTAAATGTAATATGAGTTTTTAATATAAACTTGCAAAAATGTGTTCCAACCTGTTTTTGCTTTGTCATTATGGGGTATTGTGTGTAGATTGATGAGGGGGGAAAACAATTTAATCCATTTTAGAATAAGGCTGTAACGTAACAAAATGTGGAAAAAGTCAAGGGGTCTGAGTACTTTCCAATTGCACTGTAGGCCTGTGCAAGTTGCTTTTCGTAACATCGGACTAAGTTGTCATGACCTTCAATTACCATGGTCCCAAAATGTCCCAAAATGTCCCAAACACCCTTTCCCAATAATCTGTACTATGTACATATCCTCTTATCTGTCCTCCTTCGGTCCTTCCACTTTCTATGAATGAAGGGGGTTTGACACACCTCCAATATAAGAACAGGAGCTAGACTAAAAGGTCCAATACATAGTATCGTTTCTGCTGCTCCCAAACATGATATGTTGATGAAGCTTAGGTGATACAATCATAAAGTCTTCCACTAATTCTAACCTCTTCCCTCTCGCTCTTCTCTCTCCAGCCCAGTTGGAGTTTGTGCAGATCCTGGTGATCGTGGTGGTGATGATGGTGATGGTGGTGGTAATCACCTGCCTGCTCAACCACTACCGCCTGTCTGCACGCTCCTTCATCTCCAGGCACAGCCAGGCCCGCAGGCGCCACCTACCACTGGCCTCCGTAAGTACTCTACACTGACCAGGACGTAGACTTTACTTTATAGCCTCCACACAGACCAGGGTGCAGAATACTTTACAG